AAAATGAAATTTCTGGATGCCTTGAGGAGGTCCACGGACACCAGCCAAGCACCATTGGGCTGTCTCAGTTGATGGTGGTTAATAATGGATTTTCCAGTTTGCATTCTCAGTCCTCACGGTTGCCAGAAAATCATCTAGTACAACCCCTTCGTTTCATAGATTAAAGCTCAAAGATGTGAAATGACTTGGTCAAGGTCTCATGGCTAATTGGCGGCAGAGAGACTAAAAGTCAGGCTCTCTTGACTTGTGGCTCAGTGCTTTTCCTAGGCAGCCAGCCCAGAGATAGAATCCCCGCCCCTCATGCCTAGGGCTATGTAAGTGCGTCAAGGAGAAAAATCTGTAACAGCTGTGCAGGTGGGCCGCTCTGGTACCATCAAGAACAGTGCTGCAGTCAGTGGGCCATTTAGAATCTCCCTGCGCAGGCACCCTGGGCACTGCTCAGGAGCATGCCACTATTATAGGCAAGGATGTCAGGCAGACAGGCTGCCCTTGAGGACAGATGTCTCCTGGTTTTCCCTCCCTTGGCAGCAGACCCACCCTCTCCAAACACTAGTCTAGACTTGAGGCCAGCTGCTGTGGAGCTCAGATCCCCTTCATTAGCCCCTAGGTGAGGAGTTGGGAGGGCCAAGCTGGTTTCTGCAGCTTTCTGGACTACAGTGACCTCTCCTGCACCAGGGAGCTCATTACCAGCCAGGGGCCCTAAGGCGGCCTCTCCAACAGCAGGTAGAGATGAAAGCAATAAGGTGTTGGCTGTTCTGCTGCCCCTGGTCACCCCCTGGTTTTATTAAAGTCCAAAGTCTCAAACATTTCTAATGTGGATTAGAAGTCTGATAAGGTATGTGGAATCTAGGGCTGAAACCCCCTGAGACAGAATGGGGCAGAGAGAGGGTCAGGTGAGGGCGGCCATTTGGGTTGAGCTGGGCTCAGCTTGCCAGAGAAGGAGGGTGGCCACCAGGAGATGCTGACTATCTCTGTTTGCTTAGCTCCCGTCTCTCTATTTACTCAAAATTAACCTATTTATTTTCCTTTATCAAATAACCCAGTCCCCTGCTGCCTGCTTGTTCAGGGGAACAGTACCTCTTCAATCTACTGAGTCAAGAACAGCCAACTCGCCCTCAGGCCTGATAAGACCAGATCATCTAAAGCAGAAGCCCCAAGACTGGGCTTCAAGGGTCCTGGTCCCATTTCCTCTCTGCCTCCATGTCCCTGTAGGATCCTAGATCTGTCCCTTAGCTTGTATGGGCCCACAGATGGAAGGTGGAAGTCACTGTTGGGTGCAGGGTCTGGAGTGGGGGCTCCACAGTGTACGCAGACTCAGTACCCCTATGTCCCTCAGGTGCCATGGTTCTAGAAGGAAGGAAAGCCCTGCAAAAAGAGTGTCTATAGGCCCAAGCTCCTGGAAGGAGCCAGCCTTGAGAGCAATTCCTAGAGCCCCAGAAAGTTCCATTTACCCTGAAGGAACCCTTATAACCTCCCAGGTCCACAGACAAACTAACTCAAACTCCCCAGTGGAGACAGGCTGTGAAAGTACAACTTAGCTTCTGTAGGATGGCGGTGGTGGGGACATGGTGACAGTAGCCTATTTACTCCCTCTCAGAGGGGCTGTAGCAGCTTCCAGAATTCTTCTCAGGGCCCTAACTTGATCGTAGCACTGATAGACAGAACTATTCTTGCCAGGGTTCTTTTAGCTAAAATGGAATCCTCCCTTCCTGCAGGCAAATATGTAGCCACTCTTGTGTGCCGTTGGGTACCTCTGAAGCAAAAGTCAAGAGTGAGGGGAGTAGGGGCTGTGGCTCAGTGGTGGAGTGCTTGCCTAGCACATGTGAGGCACTGGGTTGAATCCTCAGCACCACATACAAATAAATAAATAAATGATGGTATTATGTGCATCTACAACTAAAAAAAAAAAAATACTTAAAAAAAAAAGAGTAAGGCAAGAATCTTGTCCCAAAAGGGCCTCTCATCATTATATGCTGGGGGTGGGGGGCACAGATGCAGGTCAAAGGTGACTTGGTGGTTCCTGTGAGCTCTTTGGGGCAGAAAACACTGCAGGATGTGGGGGAGATGCTCAATGCAAGCTGGACCCTGAGGCAGGGGCCCTGGGGGTAATAAACAACCCTGGGTCCCATAGCAGGTATAGATTGTCCAAGCAAAGAGGAGAGAGAGAGGCATTCTGGCTAAAGTGACCAAAGATACACCAACCACGTGGAGCAGAGAGCTGGCAGAGAGGGAGGAGAGAGAATCAGGTGAGGAGGTAAGACAGAGCCCAACTGTTGAGAGCCTCAAATGCAAGCAAAGAGGATGAGCCTTGATTCAGAAGCCAAATAAGGGAGCCACTGAGGGCATATGAGCAGTGGCACTGACACAAGAAAGTCTGGCACCAGAGCACTCGCTGGCCACGCAACCTTGGGTGAGTCCCTTAACTTCACCAAACATTCATTTTCTCCCTCTTGCAATGGGGATAATAAAGACACCTGCCTCATAGGGCTATGCTAAGACTCACAGAGAGAATTTAGCAAAGAACTTTGTAGAGTACCTGGCATGTGCTCAGTGGACAGTCCATTACTGGCTTAGCGAGTCTGTAACTTTGGTCAGGCTCAAACCTTGGAGAATTTAAAAGGGAAATAAAGGGAGTTGGGCTTCTCTTTGTATCTTGTTTCTCTGTCAGAGATGGACCATTCAGTCAGATGCACCATCCCTGCCACAGGAGATCTGACCACGTTCCCACAACGTTGGGGAATTCTTCTGTGTTTCCCTCCATTAACAAAGAGACTAGGGAGACTAGGGAGACTAGGGAGACTAGGGAGATGCACCTGAGGAATATGGGGGTCCTAGCACTGTCCTTGAACTGGCTACACCCCCCTAAATTACATGAGTTAAGGGCGGGGTGGGGAGTGGGGAGGAATATATACTCTCCACAAAGCACCGTACCTTTGGCATTCAGCAAACATGAATGGATCATCCAACAATAACAAAAAGAGGGCTGCGTGGTCAAAGGGACATCTCAAGGTTACCTTGAGATGCACCCTAGTGAGCTGTCAGGGGCTCTGCTCATGGTGGAGTGTGAGGAGTGCTCTCCCAAGAGATGGGGCTCAGCTAGCCAGGCAAGGCTTTTCAACCTGAATAAATGCAGGATGTAATGGCAACAATCCCTGCCTCCCAGAGCTGCTGTGAACCTCAAGTGTGGAAAAACATCATAGACAAGCTGCATAGGTGGTGGTCTTGGATCACTGGCTCTCTGGAGGTCAGGGGCATGTGTGCTGGCGCAGGTGACTGGCCTTGCTGGGGTATCCCTACTCTGGCTCCAGTCTGACCTGCCTCCTGGGGAACTGGGGATAGGCACCTTCTGTCACTCTGCCTGGAATTTGGGCACGAGGATAGGTGGACAAAAGGCAAGTGTGGGGTTAGGGAAGGGTGGGTGCCAGCGCCACCTAGAGGGGAACTTTGGGATCACATGCCCTGGAAGGGGTTGGGTAGGGGGAGTCTTGGCTAATTCTCCAGGCTGGTGGGAACTCCAACCGTCTCCAATAGAGGGTGGTCCTTTGAGAGGGGAATGGACAAAACCACCCAACTTCTCTCCTGCTCAGAAGTCACCTCCTCAGGAAGGCCTTTCCGGGCTAAAATTACAACTGTAACCCCACCCTGGTCATTTCATATCCTCTTCTCTGCCTTACATTTTTTTTCCTTGATACTTTTGATTATCTAACTTATTTATTGACTTTTTAAAATTGTCCTTGGCCCTAATAAAATTCAAGCTCCACAAAGGCAGGGATTTTTTTTTTTTGTCTCTTTTGTTCTCTCCTGTATTCCCAGCACTCAGGTCAAGACCTAGCACATAGCAGGTGCTTAATAAATATTGTTGAATGAATGTATGAATAAGCACAAACCCTGAGCTCCACTTCTTCAAACCTAGCTCTGGGAGCTGTATGGGAGCAAACATCTCTGTAGCTTGAGTTCCAAGTCAACTTTACCCCATTTCAGTAAATGGGGAACAGGAAAAGGAAGCAGTCTGTCAGAGTGCTATCTAATACAACAGATGGACATGCTTGCCATCGTTCTAGGAAGATATTAAAACTTCTAGGGAGGGAAGTTCTGTTTTCTCAGAAAACTTCCAGGGATCCCCAGCCATGATGATTCTTGGGACAGGAGAAGCAGCGGAGTGTGTGTTCCTTGCTGGGTTTATTTTTGGAGGATGATCACATTTAAGGAAAAAGGTCAGAGCAGATCTAAAGCCTGGGGTCAAGCCCGGGATGACAAGGGTACATCTCCTTGGTTGGCAGCATGTCCCAAGCAGGGTGTCAGTTCCTTTCAAGTCCACACCAAGACTTGAAGTTAGAGAGCTGGGTGTGTTTCCGGAAAGTTGGGGATTGGCAAAGAATGACCGAGCTGAGGAGCAGAGGCAGAAAAGAATTGCAGATCTGCTAGGAGAGGGGCCACCCGATGGCTAGAGCTTGATCCCACCCAGGACACTACCACAACCACTAGCCTGGACCCTGGATGGGCATGAAGTCAAGGGGATCAGAGATGGGGAAGGGTGAGCTGGAGAACTGGAATGGACCATCCAGGGCGGCTGCAGACAAAGGGTGCCCACAAGGCAAGTCAGATCAAAGCAGAATGGGAAGGACTGGGACCAGAATCTGATCAAAAGCCAGAGAGAAGCTGGGCACATGATGGCACCTGCCTCTCATCCCAGCTAATCAGGAGACTGAGACAGGAGAATAGCAAGTTTGAAGCCAGCCTCAGAAACTTAGGAAGACCCTGCCTCAAAAATTTAAAAAGAAATGAGAAATAATATTGAAGGGGGTAAATTCTATTGAAAGAGCAATGTGGTTATTTTGTACCCAGTTACTCCTACCATGGAGGCTAGTCCCTTGGGTCTTGAGCACATGGCCCTGTGACTCTAAGAGTTTTCTCCTGGGCCCCAGAGTGCCCCATGGCCCCTGCACAGGGAGAAAGCCCATGTGTGCCTCTCACCTGCCTTCTTGTGTGCTTCTTTGCAGGAAAGCGTGGACTTGGGAGAGATCATGTTCTCCCTCTGCTACCTGCCCACGGCCGGCAGGCTAACCCTCACGGTGATCAAATGTCGCAACCTCAAGGCAATGGACATCACAGGCTATTCAGGTACCTCTCTTACTCATGTGGCCTACCATGCAACCTCCCCAAATCCAGACATTAAGCTTTGGTTGAGCGTTCAGGAAGAAAGAGCAAGACCTGTGCTATTCTTAGACTAGGAGCACCAGCTCAGGAGACAAAGACCTGCATCCACTTCTGTCCCTTCTTTTCTGTGTAAAGGCTGTGGTTTCTGTGTTAGTTTTCCTTCACTGTGACAAAATACCTGAGAAAAATCAACTTAAAGGAGGGAAGGGGTACCCGAGTGATGGAGCATCTGCTTAACATGTGCAAGATCTTGGATTCAATCCTCAGCATTGAAAATAATTCATAAATAAAAGATTGATTTGGGCTCACAGTTCCAGAGGTTTCAATTCATGTCCTCTGGGCCCTATTTCTTTGGTCTGTGGCAGCCTGGGACCTCATGGTGGGAGCACATGGCAGAGGCCTGTTCACCTCATGGAAGCAAAGAGAGAGGAAGAAGAGGGGCCAGGGTCTTAATATCCCTTCAAGGGCATGGCCCCAATGACCCAACTTCCCTCCACCAGCCCCTACCTCCTGAAGGTCTCCACTACCTCCTATTAGTGCTATAGGCTGAGGACCAAGCATCAACAAATTGGCCTTTAAGGGCCATTCAAGATCCAAATTATTGCAGTTTCCTAATCTGAAAAGCAAGTTAATCCACATGAACGTTTAGCCTTGTGCCTGACACATCATGAGCACTCAGTAGAGACGAGCTATTACCACCATTCTTTCTCTTAGAGGAAGGAGAGAGAATCCGAAGGAAATATATAGGAGACAAAGTAAAGACAATCTTCACAGTTTATATGAGGCCCCAGGACTTCAAGAAGGGTTTTGTCAAGTTTGTGCAAATGTTTGCAGGCCCACACAGGCCTAGGGCAGCAGCCCTGTGTACTGAGTCAAAGGAGCAAATCCACTGAAAAGCAAAGCGCATTTTTTATCTGAGCTTTTCCTGCAGGCCTCCCAGCCTCAGCCTCAACACCAAGGGAGCTGAGCTCCAGCAGAATAGAAATACAGTGCCATGCCAGCAACGCCGGAGAGGCTTGTTTGGAACAACTGCAGAGACCTGCAGGCTGGACATGGCTCGATCATGATTCCACAAGTGTAGAATTAATTCTACAGGTGGTCGTGGAAGGTATTTGCACTTGGAGATAACGAAGAAGCAGCTTGAGGCCTGGGAACCTCCTTCTCCATCAGCTCGAATTGCCCCCAGGAGTAAGAGAGATAAAGCCTCCCAAACAACAGCTCAAGCTCAATGGCTTGTAGAACGTTCTGGACATTTAGGACAGCAAATGGGGGGAACGTCTCAGTTTGTTTCCCTAGACCTTCTCCAAGAGGCCCTTGTAATTGATTCCAATTAAGAGTGTAAAACCACTCAGGAGACAACTCTGAACTTGGCTGGGAATGTATGGAAAAGTTTTCCTTTGTATTTGTTGATTACTTATTCTCTAGAAGACTCCTAGGTATAACCACATTTGCCATACAGGGGAGAAGGTCCTGCTGAAAATACGTGGGGCAAAGCGCAACCTCGTGAAGGTGGAAGAAGATGAGGTATCAGGCCTAGGAAACTGTGGTTTTAGGAAAGAGTGGTCAGGAAATATTAATTCAGTATAACCTGCATTTACTTACTGCACTTCCTCTTCCATCTCTCCTACTGGCAATTGAGCCCAGTTGCTTTCTACCACTGAGCTGCATCCCCAGCCCTTTTTATTCTTTATTTTGAAACAGGGTCTCTCTAAGTTGCTGAGACTGGCCTCTAATTTATGATCCTCTTGCCTCAGCCTCCCCATGTACCTGGGATTAGGGGCATATGTCACTGCACCCGGTTTATTTACTGCATCTTTGAACCTCTGGGAGCCTCTGCTTCAGCCTCCAATTGTCTCTGTGGTACCCTTCACCAGGCCAAAAGCCCCCCAAGGAGACCCCATCCCCCCAACCTCCTCTATCCACCAAAGCTGCTGACACACATCAGGACACAGTGAAGAGCTTAGGGAACCTTTGCTGACATGCAGAAAATTCTCAGGCAGCAGTAAGTCGGCTTCCCTCAAAATACAGCCAATGTCGATTTCATTTTAATACTGAAATAAGTGTGTGCTGGGGACAGAAATTCACTAAGGACTCTTGGGGCTCCTGAGGGAAATAGGATTTTGCTGTCCTGGTCCTCACACTATCTTCTCTGGTATAATTAAAGTGATGTGCAAAAGAGAGAGAGAGAGAGAGAGAGAGCTCATAGTAAAGCCATAGGTAATCACAAAGACTGTTCCGGATCAGAGGGTTTGGGGCGAGAGGTATTTTTATGCCAAGTTCTAACATCCCTCTCACAATTATCCCTCTTCTCTACTGGGTTTTGAAATCTGGTATTAAATCTCAGCTGGATTCTGAAAAGGTAGGGGTCCTCTTTGCAGCAGAGATGTCTATTTTGTTCACCCGTGTAAGTAAGTTTGTGGAACATAGGAAACATTCATTAAATACAGATTAGTGAATGAACGAGCGAATGTGTTTGTGGGTATTATGAGGATCTTGGCCCCGAGGGTGGCACAGGGCATGTGTGGGTGCCAGGGGCCTCTCAGACTAGATTTCCTGTTTTCAAGGATGAGTTTGACGTTGCCTTCAGCCGATCCAACATCAGTTTGATGTGGGACTGATCTGGGGAGTGAATGGAGTTTATTAATTGCCTGTTCCAGACATACATGGCATTGACCTCTAAAACCAAGGATCTTTCTGTTTTTCTTGATCTAAAATCCCTGAATCAATTCTCTAAACCCTTCTGCTAGGACCATAGCGATTAAAACTGTGCAAAATAATGATAAGGACCAGCGTGCTGCAAACGGTTGGGGAAGAGAGTCAACCCTCTCATCTGTGCCACAGCTGGTCTGCGCTGCTTAGAATCTAGGGGTCAAAAATGTGAGAGCTTTGAAATCAGACCTGGCTTCAATTCTGAAGCCATTTCCTTCATTCCCCCTAAGCCTCACTTTTCCTATTGATGAAATGGAGATTTGATGATAAATATTTCATAGGGTTGATATGAACTTTAAAGGAACCTGATAGGTATACAACTCTTAGCAGAGTGCCCAGCACATTCCAGATGCTGGATTCTGGTAGCTTCTGTGACAATGAGGTTGAAATGCACTGCTGGTCTTTGTGCCCCCTCAATCCGCTGCAGAGAGGAACAGGCCTCGAATATCACCAGAAGCCAGCATTCCACTAGACACCATAAACTTTTATCTGGGAGATCCCTAGGGAACAGTGATCTCCGCTCAGCCTTGTGAGAGTGTTGGTTCCTGCGAGGAAATAGGTTCACTGAATTATAAATTGGATATGCCTTGTAGGGATGAGCAGAGTTGGGGAGGGCTGCTGAGGCATGGGCCCAGCGGCCTATGGGACAAGTGGCTCTGCCTATATTTTTCCAAGCCTCGTGACATGAACATTTGCTCTTGAGTGGGAGTATGTGAAGTCAGGTACAACAGAGGAAAGGGCAAACTCATGCCTGAAGACACTTTCTAAAGCTCTGCGCTTCCTGAAGACGTTGAGTGTTAAAGACAGGTCTCGGGGCCAGCTCTTCTCACCTGTCTGCTAGGACCTGAGCCGTGTCCTGGGGCATGTCCATGGAGAATGGAGCCCGTGAGCCAGAATGCTGTCTCCTGTGGGTTCATTCCTCTCCTCCCTGTTTACTGAAAAATCCCTCTGAGAGGGGGGCCCTTGCAAATGTGTATTCAGAGACAGCAGGTTGATTGAATTCCTCATGGTCTCCCCAGTTCCTCCATAAACTTAAGTGTCCCCGTGGTTAAGGCACAGCTGCCACTGTCACGTTGGTTAGTCAGCAGCTTATTTACATGTCTACAGAATAACATTAAGGCTTAGAGCTTCTGGTCGGGTGCTGCAGTTTCTCTAGTTTCCACCATGGGTATGCACCTCATCTGCCCCTCAGTGAAGCCAGGGAGCCTGAGGGCCGAGTGGGTCTTGGCTGCCCAGGAGATAGAACCGTGCATCTCTGAATCGCAGAGCCAGGGAGCGGCTGCCTTGACTAGCACCTCCTGACAGATTCACATGAGCCCTGGCTGCTGGGCATAAAGGGTGTCTTGGCACATCAGCATCTCAACAGCTATTATTACCTGTGAGTCACCCTCTTGTTTCTTGAGCCGTGCAACATAAATACTAATTATGACGGTGACCAAGACACCTGTGCTATGAGACACAATAGGTGTCACTTCATTTGGATGAGTAGAAAATTTCAGGGTAGAGTGATGACCGTGAAATACCTATTCAGAAAACGGAACAAAGAGACAGGATCAGGAGGCACATGGAAGTTTAGTAAAAAAGACGTCTCTTTGCAGGATGGAGAGCATCCAAGATCCCACTGAGAAATGAAATGTCAACCAGCTGCCCTGAGTCTCAGGAGACCACCTCACTCCCTCCCCTGGCCAAAGCTCCCTCCCCTTCTACTGTTCAGAAGTTGGCAGGAAATGGCTTCCAGGGAAGCAGAAAGCAGGGCCACTTCCTCCTTCTTGATGCCCAATGGCAATGAGATTATTGGGACCCTGGGACCCAAAATCATGTTGTCAGGTGGGGAGGACGTGAGCGGCATGGCGATTGTCGCTGTTCATTGCACTCTGACATGTGGCTCTTTCTTGGCCATCTCTGAGTTCTATTTTTACCCTCTTTATCCTTTGGTTAATAATGTTGGCAAAGAGAAGACACACACACACACACACACACACACACACACACTCCATAGACTCCATATAGGTGAAAGAAACAGTGCTTTTGTCAGCTTCAACAGCCTTTTGAGCCAGCCAGCCACTGTGGGACTGAGATTCAGGGCTAGGAACTGCACACCCCTGGGCAAGTGTCCTGTCTGAATTGGGGCTGGCTTCCCTATTAGTGAAAGCCCATTAGGCAGTCTCCCGCGAATACCCAGGTAGTTAAAGATTCTGTTTATTAAGCACAGAGCCTCCTCGGAGACAGATGCGCTACATAAATACAAGGTGGTTTAATTATTTCAACAACCTTTCGGTACCATCTGAGGAGCAGCAGCAGGTCTAGGGCTTCAGTGCCTCTGCTGCAAATGATGTTTGAGGACATCTGTTGAACACATTCCCTTCCCTTTGCACTGCCCCCATTGGCACAGATCCCTACGTCAAAGTGTCCCTGCTTTGTGATGGGCGGAGGCTGAAGAAGAAGAAAACAACCATAAAGAAGAACACTCTCAATCCTGTCTACAATGAGGCCATCATCTTTGACATTCCCCCAGAAAACATGGATCAAGTCAGCCTGCTCATCTCAGTGATGGATTACGACCGGTAGGTTCCAGTCCCAGAGGGACACGATCCCCTCCCCCCACCAACTCCAATGCAGCATAGGGCTCCTTGACCTTGCACCTGTGGTTCAGATCTCAGACGCCCATTGGCTTCCACTCTGGCTCCAACTACGAAGGGCACAGGAGTTTGAGAAAGAGTGTAGACTCCCCCTTAGCAAAAGTCTCCAGCCTCCTCTCCCAGCTGCTCTGTTTCCATTGATGAGACAACTTTACCAGTCAGCGACCCCTGAATTCACCATTCTTATTGGTCCATCTGGCACCAAGTCCTACCTACCATGTGTCCTTTAGAATACCTTTCTGTCCTCTCCACATCTGTGACTGCTACCACTCTCACTCTAGGATAGCAGCTATTCAACCTCCATTCCTCCCTTCTCTGATCCAGCAAACAGACTAAGGACACACCTTCCTGGACACTTTCTTCCTGGTCCTGCCCTTTTCAAGATCCATCAACGGCTCCTGTTGTCCATAATCTTGACCTGGCATATCCATCCCACCTGACCTCCCCTTCCTTGAATTTATTCTCTACTGTTTCTCCTGCTTTCCCATCAAGACTGGCTCAAAATACACTTTCCAACTCCTCCAGCTCCCCATGATCCCTTCTGTCCAGATGTTACTTTAGCTGGAGGCGGAAACCATGCAATAAACCCTCTGTCCTGGGTTTTTAGCTCAAGTTCTCAGGCATACTAGGTGCTTCATGAACAGACTTGAGTGATGATTCATGTTCTTCCTGAGTGAATCAATCACACCCCACCCCTGGGGACATGGAGAAACGATGCTCAGAGCAGGTTGATTTATTTCCAAGATGTCTCCAGAGAGGCTGTAGGATGCTGGTTAAGTCAAATAAAGGAAGAGACAAACTCTCCCAGTTTCCAGAGTCGGGCCACCTGCAACTGTGTCCTGAGATTCCAAACAAGTTTATAACCTTTTGTTCATCTCTCCGTGTCCAACCCTCAGCTGAGGAGGTCAGGCAAAGTCTCCCAGACACTGATACCCCGAGGCCCCGCCAGGCATCCGTTTCAGAATTTGATGCGCTGGGCAGATCGGCACCTGGAGGGACTTTCCTTTCTGACAGCGTGTCTTATAGCCAATGTTGGGACCTATGCTTTTCCCTCAGAGTGGGTCACAATGAGATCATAGGAGTCTGTCGTGTGGGAATCAATGCTGAAGGTCTGGGCAGGGACCACTGGAACGAGATGCTGGCCTACCCACGGAAGCCCATCGCACACTGGCACTCCTTGGTGGAAGTAAAGAAATCCTTCAAAGAGGTGGGTGAGGTCACCTGGTCCCTGGCATGTTTGCTGCATGGCAGTGTGGGCTGGAGAATGGCAGTTGGCTGCTGCGCCTCCCTCAGCCTTTGGTGGGAAGGGGGCATGGGGGCCACATGCTTCTCACCCAGTGCGTAACCCATTTTAGACGGGGAAAGGAGGCGGAGGCTGCCTGGCAAACAGCCCTGACGTCAGCCGTTTGAAAGCAACAGTGAGTTCTTAATGGAAAATAAAAACTTTGAAGAAGACTTCCCAGCAGGCCACTGTGCCAGGCCTAAAAAGCCTTCACCAAGCTGGTGGGCCAAGTGAGTCCTTTAGGAGAGAGCCCCGAGGGGGTGAGATCAGAACTTGGCAAGAAGTTCTGCCTCTGTGGGAACAGTGAGTTCCCCGGGGCTCCAGCCCGGCAGTCACTTGGCAGTTTTCACAGACTGGCTGGAGATGTGGCCATAGAGCAGATTTCTTCCTCTCGTGAAGGTGGGTTCTCACCATTGTGGGGGGCAGGAGCGTGGCCTCAAGGTGTCACACTTTCTGGCTGAAGCTGGATTCCGTCAAAGCCGTAGACCGGGTGTCCTGAGACTTGGGCTTCCATCTTGGCCCCTCCTGACTTGCTGTACAATCTGTAGCCTTCCACTCTGTCTCAGCTACCAAGAAAATGTCCCTCTGAGTAATGCCCCATCTCCATCCACCAGACCCCACCCACTTAAGATCCTTTGATCTGTCACTCTAGTGACCTGCTTTTTTCCCCAATTGGCTTGGGATATGGGGGTGACCAGGCAAGTCTGGAAGCTCATTTTTTAATATCGTATACTCCAGTATAATCCAAGAAAGCTGGGCGTTTATTCTCTCGTCTTAACAGGCTTCGACCCTACTAAGTCCAGAGAGCTGTACAAAATTGGAAAACTTTAAAGCTTTATCCCTTCCATCCTATGATTCCCTCAATTTAAAAGCCAACTCACCTTAAAAACAGTTACCCCCTCCCACTACGCTGATATAGAAAAGGTAGGCGTGGGAAAACCCGGGGGAGCTGCCAGCTTCCTTTGCTTCTCAGGGTGGACAAATCATTTCCACCTGCTTTACAGCAGTAGGAAGTATGCCGGGAGAGACTGGGAGCTGAGGGAACGGGGCCCAAGGAAACTCGTGGGAGATGGTGGCTTCCCAGGAGCCAGGCCCATTGACTTACCTCTCCAGGTAGCCTGTGCTTTGTGACGCTCCTGACCTATGGCCTGTAAGGCAGCATCAAGGACTCAGGCATAGATCCAAGTTCCTGTCAGTTGAGGCCTTAGGTTTCTGTCTTGATTTTCCCACAGCTGTGGAGCATTAATGAGGCCAGACCCTCTGTCTGCAGCTACCCCTAAGGTAGCCCTCCCCTCTCTTCCTGCAGTGGGAATAAGGTACCCACCACCAGCCACAGGGGGCGCTATTGGGCAGAACCCTATGCAACCTGATGACAATCTAGGCCCTCACTAAAGGTGGTGTGGATTCCACCCAGGAAGTGGCCATGATAACCCGCCCCCACATCTTGTGGACATATTTAGGAATAGAATAAGCGTACTAAACTGTTTAGAGTGGCTTAGGGGCAGGGCATGGAATGCAGCTAACACACCTCTGGAGCAGACCCCTTGCAGCTAACTCCCTTCCCCATCTTTGCTTTTTAGGGAAACGTTGACCCTAAGCCACCACTGGGCCCAGGAGCCCACAGGTTGCACTGTGACTGACTTTCTCACCTCCACACTCTGTGATTACCATAATCCATCAGGCTTACCAGGCTGGGTCTACCCTTGGCAAAGGAAGTAACTGGTCAGAGCAGCAGCTGGAGCAAGGGTGTAGGGTACCACCCAGGTGCCAGAACTGGGCCCCCGAATAACAATGAATACAACCTAATTAAGTCAAATAATTGAATCCAAATTCTGTTTCTTTGAGAACTCTGACTCACTAGTCCAGACTACAAAAGAAAGAAAGATAATGTAGAATCAAGCCCTTGAAAATGAATATTTGATGAGACAGTAAGAGGCAAGTAACAGTATATGGAAAACGAAAAGAGAATAAATTGATTCAGATCCTTTGGGTTTTTTTTTTTTTTTTCTTGACCTCACACGCTGTGCGCCTGAGTCTGCCCCTCCCCCCCGCTATCCTACCATTTTCTGCTCAGCTGATCATTTCTCTGTATAAAGAAGCCAAAAAATGACATTCATCTCGGCAACTTAGGATAGCAATAGTATGTATTTGTATAGAATTTTCACTGACACTTTTAGCACCCACGGTTTTACGTATCTTGGTAAAAATGCATCTAAACCCCACCAGGCTGATATTAAGTGAACCTCTGGGGTTCACGTGAAGCTTTGAGCTTGAACATACATCTTCTCAGTCACCTTGAGAGCTCCCACTCTGCCTTCTTTTTGGTTCTGTTCTGGCCATTGAGCAAGAGCCTTGTTCCTGAAACTTAGGTCTCCTATTTGTGTAATCCATAAAGAAATCTTCTCCAGCTCCCGGGAAGATAAATGGCATCGTATCGGTAAGCACTCCATATTTATCTTGCACCTTTCTCAACAGAGCCTCAAGTGTTGTGATCATTTCTTTTTTTTTTTTTTTTATTATTAATGAGAACACAGGACACCATACTTACGTGCTGGTTTGGTGCTTAAAATAAGGTTGAGGGGAAACAAATTAACTGAAAAGGTATTTTTCCCTGCTGGGATCTCTCATGAATAAAAATTCATTAAGCCACAATGAGCGCCCTTCCCCAGCTGCAGCGCCAGCCCCTTCCCTCCCAGCACTCCTGCCAACATTTTTTTTGTGTGTGTGTGTTGTCACCACACACAGGGCCTGGTTGACCAGTGATTTTCTCCAAGGTGCTTTATCAGGAAGGCCAACTTCAGATCATCTGCCAGAGATTTTAGATCTCTGCTGGAATGTGATCCTTTTCAGAACAAAAGACCCTCCCCCTGGAACAATAACTTTCCCACCTGGAGGGGACAGGTTCTGCGCTATTTCAGAGCCATCTCCATAAGCCTGGGAATCATTCACCTTTCCATTGTCCATGAACCTCATCTCCTCCCTTTGTTTATCTTCATAGGCGAAATCAGGGACTAGCAGGAGAGCCAGTGTTCCTTCTTCATTTGTTCTGGATAAACAATTATGCTCTGTGTGACTATTCTTTGGGCTGTTATATAAGGGGGAAAAGGTATTCTGTGTAGCCATTTCCTGTTTTCTCCTCTGACCTGGCCTATCAATCAGATTGTTTAAGTAGCAGGCTCACCCAGGGGAGAAGCCAGTAATTACAATGTACCTTTCACCGACATTAAAGGTTGGAACAGGAAAAAAGAAAAAAAAAAAAAACCCAACTCCTAAAATGAAGGTCTGCTAAATGAAAGCATTAGTGATCGTCTTCTGTCACTTTCTGGTTAAGAAACACTTGAGTCAGAAGTCACAGTGGGCTCAACAACCAGGCATTTATTTATCTAAAATATCTCACCAGGGAAACCCTCGGTTGTGATTTCATTCACGTGGATGCTGCAAAGCAGAGAGACTACCACCTGGAGTTAGGAGTAAGTACCTGGTGTGGACCCAAGGAGGTTAGGTTTCTTATTACATTTTGTGTCTCCTTCCCCTAGTACAGCTACGTGCTAAGACAGAGAGAGGCAGGATGAAGGGGAAAGAGCACCCAGTTGGGATTGAGGAGACCTGGTTTCAGGTCCTCGCTCTGCCCTAACTGTCTACCTCCTGACACTACCTGTGTCTTTGTTCTCTTATTTGCAAGAACAAAAGGGTTAGCCTGGAAGATCTCCTAAGCCTGTGTCCATTCTGACGTGCTGAGATTGCTCAGGTCTAGGTCATGTCATGGTGGCCAGCGATACCTGATTGTCCGGTGCTTGGTTAGTTGTAAAGACCTTCAGGTTGGCCTGGAAAGGGAGCACTAAGGAACCCATGCAGAACAGGGCTCAGAGAGGAACAATGCA